CCCTCACCCCGCCTGCCCTCAGGGTGCCGGGCTCCTGGCCGGGAGCTGCCTGCCCTGGACAGCTCCGCCTTCTCCCCTCTGCCCACCACAAGGAGCACTGCGAGGACACAGCTCCTCATTGTTGCCAGTGCTGGGAACAAAAGGGTCCCTGTGTCCCCGGGGACAATGCCCCTCCCGCACCGGGTGGCAGGGCCATCTCAACCGCAACAGTGCTCTGGCCCTGGGGCCTGGTCCCAGGCCCTCCCCTCTCCTCCTCCCTCTCCCAGTGCCCCTCTGGTCTGGGTGGGTGGAGGGAGCAGCCTGTCCCCCCGGGGATCTGAGAAAGTGGCCTCGAACTCAGGACTGTGTGGGGCTCCCCCTCCCAGCCACCAGCACTGCCAGCTCAGCAGCCTGACACTTGCCTGTCCCCCCGGGGATCTGAGAAAGTGGCCTCGGACTCAGGACTGTGTGGGGCTCCCCATCCCAGCCACCAACACTGCCAGCTCAGCAGCCTGACACTCCCCTGTCGGTCATGTCGAGAGGCCTCGGAACGTGCCCTCGGTCTTCTGGGGTGAAGGTGCAGCCCCCACAGTGACCTGCTGTGGGACGTGTGAGTGCCTGGGATCCCCCGGGAGCCCTCGTCGTGGACGAGCCCCCTGGGACCACCTGAGCCTCCAGGGAAGGCGGGTGTGGTTGCCTGGTGGCGGCGGCCGCGTCCGATCCACCTCCTCGCCGCTCCCGTCCGTGCACGTCCCGTCCTGGACGCCACATGCTTTCTCGGCCTGGCGTTTTGGCCATGGCGCCCTCAAGGCAGGGGCGCAGTGTCCGTGTCCGCGGAGGCCGGCAGAGCCGCACGCCACCAGGCAGCTGCCCTGGGCACGGGCGGGAGACGGGGGGCGGGAGCCTCAAGTCTCCCAGGTGAGCGCTGCCCTCAGCGCGGGGCATGGAGCAGGCGGACGGCAGCGTCGACGTCCTGTAGTTCACGGGTTCATGGCAGCCCAGGATCTCACGTGCTTGTCCCCACTACCGGCTTCCCACAGAGAGTCACGCACGTGGGAAGCTGTTTATAGCTATTGGATCCTAAAACCCAATTCTGCCTCACATGTGAGCACGTCAACCAGAGTCCCCACGAGGCGAGCGTGAAAATCGAGAATCTGCCTGACGAGGTGTGGGAGACGGTGGCTCTGACAGACTCAGGCACAGGGACAGGGGCGGCACCACGGCCAGCCGCCCGGGCTCTTCAGGTCTGTAATTTTAACGGCTTTGTCGAGGAGTCCCTGCCTACGATCAACCGTGCAGAACCCAAGTCCAGCGCGTGAGTCCGGCCGTCGGCCCGCACTGCGAGGCCAGCGCAAGCCCCTCCGCGAGGACCAGCCTCTCAGGAGCTGCTCCTGTCGGTCGTGACAGCCCCTCCAAGTGGAAAGGACCGTACAGCACGCCAGCAGCCGAGTGGTTTGCGGGGGGCGCCTCCGTGAGGGCCGGGCCCCCGGCGCCTGTGGGGACAGGCCGCGCCTGGTGTGACCGTTCCGAGTGGGCCTGCGGCCTCCTCTTGCCCAGCATGTGCCCGGGTGGCTGCACTGTCTCCTGGCAAGTGCTTTGTCCCCAGGTGTGGTGTGCAGGGCGGGCACGCAGACCTGGGGGCCAAGTCTGCAGGTTCGGGGGACTTGCTGGAGAGGCCGAGCTGGGGCCGGACGTGCAGGAAGGACAGGCCTTGACGGGGCCTGGCCTGTTTCACGGCCCCCCTCGTGCCTGCTCCCTCCGTCCAGCCCTGTGTTTGGGGCCGGGGAGGCCCGGATGACGCCTCCAGCCCCGTGGCTGGAGCCCGCAGATGGGGCAGTGGCCCGGTGTCCTGTGACTGCGGCCAGGGGCACCCGGAGTGTCCTGCCCTGCTCAGCAGCACACGTGTCCTCTGCCCGTCTGAAGCCGGCCCTGCCCCAGCGACGTCGGCCTCCCTGGGCTTCGCTCGGGACTGATCGAGTGGCCCTGGGTGAAGTCCTGTGTTGACAGTCACTTGACCACTGGCGTGAGTGTCAGCAAACACTTGTACTTGCTCTGGGCAGCGTGCCAGGCAGGCGTGTGCCACAGCCACATTGCCGCCTCACGCCCCATGGCACCTGGGCTGGCACTGCCATGAACCCTGTTTACAGGTGCGAACTCGAGGCTCGGTGAAGGGGCTGCCGCGTCCAGGGTCACCCAGAGTCCTGAGCCCGGAGGTCCAGTCCCAAAGCCCGTCTGCCCGCCCACCTGGGCGCACCGCGCACTGAGTTCCCACAGCCGGGAGCCGGGCCCTCTCTCCTAAGGCTGTTACCTCAGTTCCAGTGACGGAACCTGTGGGTTGGGCTCTGGGCCAGGGGCACAAAGCAGGGCACCCACTAGGAAGCACACATGCGAGACTCGTCACGAGGAGTTGGCTTATGGGGGTGGGGAGGCCGAGGCCAGCTCTCTGGGGAGTGGGCTCCCCCGGGCAGGACCGCTCTCCAGGCCAGACTCGAGGGCTTGAATCAGTCTCACCACATTGTCTAGAATTAAGCCGTAGTTGTGATACAGAGAAAATCAGAAAGTCTCTAAATGTTTGAATTACGCCTGACTTTTCTAACTACCTCATGGGTCAGAGGGAGCCAGAATGGAAACCCTTGACGTTTGCCATGCCAGGGAGCACGGAAGATGGTGCCATCTCTGTGAGGACACGGGGTGACCTCGGAGGCCGTGGGTCCTTGTGCCCCAGTCCCAGCCGGTGGCCTCGCCCTGTGGTTCCACCCGGCGGTCCTTTCCGGTGGCCCTGAGCCCAGGGCTCGGTCCGGCCGTTGTGGGAAGGCGGATGCTGCACTCCATACTTCTGCTCATCATGGTGCCACTGCATCGTCCCCACGGGTCCAAAAACACCAGGATTTCTTGGTAAAAAATGATGATGCCATAGCAGCTTCTCAATCTTTAGTTTTTGAAAACAATCTTGTGAGCCATCTATTAGAAAAAGTGATTCAATATGTTTTCTTTCGTTTGAAAAGAAAAAAAAAAAGGTGGACCCAAATGATTCCGGTGGCTCTGGCCAGACGCCACAGTGGGGTTTTGTATAGTTCTCCCTTTTAAACTTACCTGTGCTCTATTAGTCACATTTTTCTAGATGGTTAGATGGAAACTCAGAGACTTGTGTAAGTCACACAGGGTTTTCTAAGTGTCAGAAACCAGAGTGGGATCCCCAAATTGACTCCAGACCTCTCGTTTAACCCCACGTGGTATGACATGTGTTTCCTCCTGGCTTCTGTTCTTTTGGACCAGAAAACACGCGTGTCGGGATTTTCTTGTGCGGCCATGACCGTGAAGGTAACTGACTGGGTCGAAGACCTTAGAGTAAGGCACTCAACCCTGGGAATAGAGGCTAAAGTAATTTTTGATATTAAAGCCACTGAGGGGAAATAGCTTTTCTGACTGATTCATGCTCTGGTCTCTTTGCAGCTGTGTGCTGTGAGACAGGTTCGAAATGGTACTTATAAGTCGCTCGGTCCATTTCCATAAAATGAGCTAATGCCGGCGATAAACCTACTAAAATGTTACCTTCCCTGCTATGTTTCCTAACCTTTGTAGTCTTTACAAGTTAGCTGTGATTTATGTCAGAATTTGCAGGAAAGAACTTTCACAGAGTACAGGAGCTTTAAGGAAGCTTAATGTTTAAGCTGGTTTTGTGACATTTAGCTACTTTGTGTTCTGTGAGCCAAGCGAAGGGAATTAGAGTAGGGGTCCCCAACCTTTGTGGCACCAGGGACCGGTGCTCCTAACAGAATCCAACGCCTGATGACCTGAGGTGGAGCTGAGGCGGAGGTTCAGGAGCCGGGGAGCGGCCGCAGATAAGGATGACCCTTGGCTGGCTAGCCCACCTCCTGCTGTGCGGCCTGCTCTACCAGGCACCGACAGGCACCGTCCTCGGCCCCAGGGGTTGGGGTCCCCTGGATTAGAGCTCCCTAAAATTCTGACTTTGAATCGCTTCTGGATTCAGTGATGTGGGCATAAGGGACAGGAGTCCAGTAGCTGCTGACACATCTGTTAACGGTTGACCAGGGACCGGGTGACATTCCTTAGATGTGCTTCGGCTTCTTTGTATTCTTGTTAAAGACGCTTTTGTCTCACATTTGTCCCTTTAGTAGTAACTATAACAATTTCTTGTTTCCTTTTTAAATTACAAAGTAAACGCTCCAGGGCACAGAAGGGCAACTGCGTCCCCGGATCCTGCACACCCGTTTCTGGGCAGGACCAAGCATGTGCACGCACTTCAACCCCACGGGCTCGGCGTCCAGATGCTTTTAGGCTGAGCAGCACTGTGCACCTAAGGGTGGAACCAGGTGAAGCTCTGCCTCTTACAGCACCTTCGGCTCTTCCACGCTGCGAGCTGCGGGATTCTAGGGCTGGTGTTCGCTGGACAGGCACCGGGCCCACGATCGCTTCCGGTCAGCAGCAAGCTTCGAAAGTTGTCTCGGAACCGTGTGAAATCAGTGCAATTCCAAACGCCCAGGACTTGGCGCGCCTGAGCGCGGCTGACCTTCTGACCAGCCAGGAAGGCCCCGCTGGCCCGGCCGCTTCGCGGACGGAAGGGGCGGACGCTCTGGGGGTGGTGGTTCCCGCGCCCCCTGCCCCCATCGGAGCAGCCCGAGGGTCCGCGGGGAAGGGACCTGCGCT